TGAACAAATTCTTCATAGGTGTATACCCTGCTGTTTGAATTTAAGTTTAAATATTCCTGGGAATGACTTGAGTGGGTCATATCGTTTTTATTGTTTTTTAAGAAAGATCAAGACTTGTTGAAAATGTACCAACCTTAAAATGAATAAATGTTGATAAGAAATGCATTTATAGCTAGCATAATTTCCCCTTCCATTTATTATTGGCTAATCATAGCTTAACTAATTGAATATTGGTTGTTCAGGGATACTTATAACTTTGAAAATGTTTTCATTCTAGTTATGTTTTAATTTAGTTTTTCAGCTCTTTTTAAAGGCAGTTGACCAGTGAATCCATTTATTCACTGGTGACTATGGAACACTGGTAACACCTTAGCTATAACCGAACTAGAGCATTATTTGTGAGTTACTTTTGTGTCAAATATGCAAAGTTGAGCCCATATCATGGTCTTTTGAGGCCATATCATAGTCTTTTGAGGCCATAATTTAGTAATAAAATTCCAAATTTTAGTCCTAAAATTTCTTTTATTTACCCTAAAATTCCTAATTTTAGCCCTAAAATTTCTTAAAAATTGCCCTAAAATTTGCCCTAGTTTTTTGTCAGAAGGTGCTGGACAGCCTGATATTTGTCTTTGTCAATTAAGAAAAGTAAAACTGATATATACAGGGGTGGCAAAGAAGTTCTTAATTCTAGAGGTCAAACTTCAGCCTGTCCGTTAAGTATGTTGCAGAGGTATTCAGACTGCATCAATGAGAAGTTTAATTTTGATTCTTACATTTTTAGGCCTGCCTGTAGGTCACATCAAAAATGTTTTTTGATCATAAAAATAAAAAGTTGAGCTACACTCATGCAAAAGAGTGTATTGTTTCTAAGTTAAAGCTTTTTGCACCCGATTTACATTTAGGAACGCATTCACTGAGAGCAAGCGGTGCTACCACCGCTGCTAATGCAGAAGGTATTTCAGAGGTGTTTAAAGTGACATGGTCGCTGGAAATCTGATTTGGCCAAAGACGGTTATATAGATGATTCTTTAGAGAAAAAGCTTTTTGTTACTAAACAGTTAAAATTGTAATTGTATGCTGTATTGTTAAGAATAATTCAAATTTGAATATCCTCCTCTAACATTTGTATAGGTTCTATCGTAAGCCTTGCCCATTGCAAAACTGTGTTTGTGTTTTGTGCTAAATAAGGTTTAGACTTTCAAGTTCTGCGCGTCACCTAGTATAGCCGCAGAATGTATGTCACCTAGTATAGCCGCAGAATGTATGTCTCAACGTTCTGTCGCACATAAATTAGTGGGCGGATCACTGATGCATATATCATCACGGTAAAAATGCTCTAGGAAATCATTTCTACGCTCGGTTTCGATTGTGAAGGACAATTTTATTCAAATTCGAATATTGTATTCTGCCAGTTGTTGCATATGGCTTTGCAGTAAATATTTGTGATAAATCGAAAACATTAGACTTAAAACAGATTTTATGTAAAAAAATATGAAACAGTCGTGCAATCATTTATGTCGGTAATATATTTGTAACAAGCTATATAGGTATATTGTTACTAACCCTGGTATGATAGGAACAGTTTTCCAGAGTCTTTAAACATTCCTTTATTATGGGCTGATTGTTTAATCTCTGGTTTTTAGCTCGACTATTCGATAAGAATAAGTAGAGCTATTGTAGTCACCCGAGCGTCGGCGTCGGTGTCGGCGTCTGCGTCGGCGTAACCACTTATGTTAAAGTTTTTGTAATAGTTCAAATATTTTCAAAGTCCATTGACATATGGCTTTGAAACTTTGCACACTTGTTCACCATCATTACCCCAACCTGTAAACAGGAGGAGGTAACTGTATCAAGCATTTTGACAGAATTATGCCCCTTTTTCGACTTAGAATTTACGTTAAAGTTTTTGTAATAGTTCAAATATTTTGAAAGACTTTCAAGTTCTGCGCGTCACCTAGTATAGCCGCAGAATGTATGTCACCTAGTATAGCCGCAGAATGTATGTCTCGACGTTCTGTCGCACATAAATTAGTGGGCGGATCACTGATGCATATATCATCACGGTAAAAATGCTCTAGGAAATCATTTCTACGCTCGGTTTCGATTGTGAAGGACAATTTTATTCAAATTCGAATATTGTATTCAGCCAGTTGTTGCATATGGCTTTGCAGTAAATATTTGTGATAAATCGAAAACATTAGACTTAAAACAGATTTTATGTAAAAAAATATGAAACAGTCGTGCAATCATTTATGTCGGTAATATATTTGTAACAAGCTATATAGGTATAATGTTACTAACCCTGGTATGATAGGAACAGTTTTCCAGAGTCTTTTAACATTCCTTTATAATGGGCTGATTGTTTAATCTCTGGTTTTTAGCTCGACTATTCGATAAGAATAAGTAGAGCTATTGTAGTCACCCGAGCGTCGGCGTCGGTGTCGGCGTCCATTGACATATGGCTTTGAAACTTTGCACACTTGTTCACCATCATTACCTCAACCTGTAAACAGGAGGAGGTAACTGTATCAAGCATTTTGACAGACTTAGAATTTACGTTAAAGTTTTTGTAATAGTTCAAATATTTTCAAAGTCCATTGACATATGGCTTTGAAACTTTGCACACTTGTTCACCATCATTACCCCAACCTGTAAACAGGAGGAGGTAACTGTATCAAGCATTTTGACAGAATTATGCCCCTTTTTTGACTTAGAATTTACTTTAAAGTTTTTGTAATAGTTCAAATATTTTCAAAGTCCATTGACATATGGCTTTGAAACTTTACACACTTGTTCACCATCATTACCCCAACCTGTACACAGGAGGAGGTAACTGTATCAAGCATTTTGACAGAATTATGCCCCTTTTTCGAGTTAGAATTTACGTTAAAGTTTTTGTAATAGTTCAAATATTTTCAATGTCCATTGACATATGGCTTTGAAACTTTGCACACTTGTTCACCATCATTACCCCAACCTGTAAACAGGAGGAGGTAATTGTATCAAGCATTTTTTTTTACTATCAAGCCCTAAGAATAGTCGAGCGTTGCTGTCCTACCAACAGCTCTTGTTAACCTGACTTATCATACCTTGGTTCATATAGTTTGTAATGATATTCACAAAACCATAATATACAAGTGAAATTGTTTATCTTTTAATATGTATACGGTTTGTCATATCATAATGTATATTTGTATGTATGAAAACGAAGTTTTACCATAACATGTACTTGTACAAACTGCTCAAATAATAAACAATCGTAAGCCTTGCCCATTGCAAAACTGTGTTTCTGTTTTGTGCTAAATAAGGTTAAGACATATTTTGCATGAAACATTGTGTAGTGGACTTCTTCCAATATTTTTGTCCGTCCATAACAGTTTCGTGTCCGCTGAATTTTTAAACAGCTTAAAATTTTTATTTTTACTATATTTTCATATAGTAATCACACTGTCTGTCCGATAATCTTGTCCATGCTTCATCACCAAAACCGGTGAAACTTCACAGGATTGTTTGTCACCACACAGGATTGTTTGTCACCATGCATTTTCCCAACAGTATTTCAGTCATAAAGGCGGGTAGTTTCCTAGCCATAGTTCCTGGAGAGTTACACCAGTACTAGACCACCTTCCTCCGTGCTAAACTACCAAAGCATCCCCCAGGGATCGAACCCACGCCAGAGAGGTAACTGGATTAGAAGTCATCGACTCTAACCCCTTGACCACGGAGGTGGTCGATATATATATAAATGCGTATATATATAAATGCGTATCTCTTTCTCTTTTTTTTTCTTCTGTAATACACATGCGGATATATGTGGGAAGGATTCATACTTTGACAAAACTAATGTGACAAGACAGACCTATTAAATTTATTAAAAGGAAACGTTAAGATTTGTTCAAATATTTCTTTGTTTGCTTTTAGAAAAAGTAAAAAGTTGAGCGTTGCCCCCGCCCGGCCGTGGCTCTTGTTAACTTATTTTGACAAATGCAATCTTGTTGTAAAATACTTAAGTAATGCCTCTGGGGTCAAAAATTAGGCCCATCATTGGGGTCACTTAGTACATACACTTAGGTAATGTGTGTTTAGAATATTTTCTATGATCATACAATGGTCAGAGCTTAGATATTTGACTTGTAGCGTCATAAGTGGTTTTTAATTTATAAAGACTTATAAAGGAAAATACATTTAAGTCTTCTTTTTTGTAAAACGGTTGTCTCTAGGGCTTAGATTTTGGCATGTAGCATTTCCTTGTAACCTCTACCGAAGTTATGTGACCCTGGGGTCCAAATTGCCCCCATTATTTGGGTCTCTAAGTAAACATAGACTTGTGTTATAAACTTGTGCAAAACATCTTCTTCTCTGAATGTACAATGCTAGTTCTAGTGGACTTCAACCAAAGTAATATATAGTCATGCCACTAAGGTCAAAAATGGCCCTGCCTTGGGATCACTTATTGAAGATTGACTATTGTATAAATTCATTAAAAAAAATTTCTCTGAAATTAACATGCTCAGACCTTAGATATTGGGAATTTACCATCACCTTGTGGTCTTTTTATTATAAAAATCAACCCCTTGAATCAAAATTTGCCCCACCTTTGGGGTCACTTAATAGTTTACATAAATTGATATGGAAAGGTACTTGTGAAATGACAATGTCAAGATTTTGGATATATGGCATGTAGTAGCATTACCTTGTAGTCCTTTACAAATGTTATACAAATCATGTCCCCTGGGGTCAAAATGGCTCTTTTCTAGGAGTCACCTCTAAAAATATGCAGTGTGGGTAAAAATGAAAAGCACAATCGACTTAATTCCTGACTTTTGCTTTGAAGAATTGTTACCCTTTTTAGCAATGTTTCTCCTGTGAGTGATCCAGGGTTGTAACAGAATTGTTTTCTGTTTTGCTTTTGTGTACTATAAACCAGCTCTGAAACAGAGAGATCTTGTTAAATAGGTTGGAATGTATAAAGAAATTAATAGAAGAACTAATACTTTCAGGGAACTTGGATCTGGTAGGGTCAAGACAAGTGTTTAGAGGGGAAAACAATCCATGGGTAACACCCATAGCTGACCAGTATCAGGTGGGAGTGTCACATGTGTTTGATTACATCAGATCAGAAACATACAAGTTGTGAGTATATTATTGTATCCCTTAAACAGGTACAATGACAATTGCTACAAACACTTATTAAGTAGCAGAAAATAATAAAAAATATATCAACAAACTTATGTTTATAACTAACATTAAATATTCCGTCTGCTCTTTGTTGTTGTATTTTTATGCCACAACAGCATCTGTGATTGTATTAATGTGGTGGCATAGCATTTTCCACAAATGCAATCTTGTTATCCCCAGCCGAAAAGGCGGCAGGGGATATAGAAATAGTCTGTCTGTTCTTCCGTCCGTCAGTCCCACATTTTTGTCCAGAGCATATCTCAAAAAGAATTTGAGATATCAACTTGTAGTTTCAAAGATGGATAGATCATATTGAGGAGTGCAGTGCACAAGAATGATAACTCTACCCTGCATAATTTTTCAGTTATTGCCCTTTGTTATTTTTCAAACTTAATTTTTGTCCCAGAGCATAACTCAAAAAGCCTTTGAGATATCAACATGAAACTTCATAGGTGGATAGTTCTCACTTAGGAGGTGTGCAGTGCACACGAATAATAACTCTACCTGTCATATTTTTTGAGTTATTGCCCTTTGTTATTTTTCATACTTTTTTGTACAGAGCTTATCTCAAAAAATGTTAGAGATATCAACTTGAAACTTCATGAGTTGATAGATCTCATTGAGGAGGAATGCAGCACACAAGAATAATAACCTACCCTGCATTATTTTTCAGTGATTGCCCTTTGTTATTTTCAGCCATCAGTATTCACATGGGTTTCAAATCTGTTATTACAGGCATCAGTTTTCATTACCAAAAGACCTCTTAAAATTGAATTATTCTGCTCTGCTACATAAACATTCTTCCAATGAGCAAACACATTTAGCAGGGGATGGCCATGTTAACATGGCTCTTGTTATACCCCCGAAACGAAGTTTGGGGGGTATATAGGAGTCACCCAGTGGTTGGTCGGTCGGTCCAGCGGTCTGTTGCATTTTCCTTGTCCGGAGCATAACTTGAAGACTAATGGTTGGAATTCAATATAACTTCATACAATGGTCAACATAATTCCATCTTGACTAATTACAGAGTTATTGCCCTTTGTTACTTTTCCTTGTCTGGAGCATAACTTGAAAACTACCTGTTGGAATTCAAAACAACTTCATACTATTGTCAAGCACAATAAGGGTAAGTGCAGTGCACAAGAACCATAACTCTATCTAAAGTAATTACAGAATTATTGCCCTTTGTAACTTTTCCATTCCTTCCTTTTGTCCAGGCCATAACATGAAGACTAATGGTTGGAATTCAATATAACTTCATACAATGGTCAAGCACATTGAGAGGAAGTGCAATGCACAAGAACCATAACTCCATCTTGACTAATTACAGAGTTACTGCCCTTTGTTACTTTTCCTTGTCCGGAGCATAACTTGAAAACTACTGGTTGGAATTCAAAACAACTTCATACAATGGTCAAGCACTATAAGGGGAAGTGCAATGCACAAGAAACATAACTCCATCTTGACTTATTACAGAGTTATTGCCCTTTGTTCCTTTTCCATTGTTTTTTTGTCAGGAGCATAACTTGAAGACAAAATGGTTGGAATTCAATATAATTTCATACAATGGTCAAGCACATTGAGAGGAAGTGCAGTGCACAAGAACCATAACTCATTCGTGACTAATTACAGAGTTACTGCCCTTTGTTACTTTTCCTTGTCCGGACCATTACTTGAAAACTACTATTTGGAATTCAATACAACTTCATACAGTCGTCAAGCACAATAAGAGAAAGAACAGTGCTTAACAACCATAACTCCATTTTTACAAGTTACAGAGTTATTGCCCTTTCATATTTTTCCTTGCCTGGAGCATAACTTAAAACGTACTGGTTGGAATTCAAAACAACTTCATACAATGATCAAGCACAATAAGAGGAAGTGCAGTGCACAAGAACTATATCTCTGTCCAGAGTATTTATAGAGTTATTGCCCTTTGTTACTTTTCTATTGCTTTTTAGCTCACCTGTCACAAAGTGACAGGGTGAGCTTTTGTGATCGCTTTTCGTCCGGCGTCCGTCCGTAAACTTTTACTTTAAATGACATCTCCTCATAAACCACTAAGCCAATTTCATCCAAACTTCACAGGAATGTTCCTTTGGTGGTCACCTTTAAAAAAATTTCAAAGAATTTAATTCCATGCAGAACTCTGGTTGCCATGGCAACTGAAAGAAAAAACTTTAAATATCTTCTTTTAAAAAACCATAAGAGCTAGATTTTAGATATTTGGCATGAAACATCTTCTAGTGAGTGTCTACCAAGTTTGTTCAAATAAAAGCCCTGGGGTCAAAATTGGCCCCGCCCCGGGGGGTCATTGATTTTCCCTATATGCATATAGTAAAAACTTAAAAAATCTTCTTTTAAAGAACCCAAAGAGCTTGAGCTAAGATATTTAGCATGAAACATCTTCTAATGGGTGTCTACCAAGTTTGTTCAAATAAAAGCCCTTGGGTCAAAATTGGCCCCGCCCCGGGGGGGTCATTGATTTTCCCTATATGCATATAGTAAAAACTTAAATCTTCTTTTAAAGAACTCAAAGAGCTATGGCTAAGATATTGAGCATCAAACATGTTCTAATAGGTGTCTACCAAGTTTGTTCAAATAAAAGCCCTGGTGTCAAAATTGGCCCCGCCCCAGGGTGTCATTGATTTCCCTATATGCATATAGTAAAAACTTAAAAAATCTTCTTTTAAAGAACCAAAAGAGTTAGAGCTAAGATATTTAGCATGAAACATGTTCTAATAAGTGTCTTCCAAGTTTGTTCAAATAAAAGCCCTGGGGTCAAAATTGGCCCCGCCCCGGGGGGTCATTGATTTTCCCTATATGCATATAGTAAAAACTTAAAAAATCTTCTTTTAAAGAACTCAAAGAGCTATGGCTAAGATATTTAGCATCAAACATGTTCTAATAGGTGTCTACCAAGTTTGTTCAAATAAAAGCCCTGGGGTCAAAATTGGCACCGCCCCGGGGGTCATTGATTTTCCTTATATGTGTATAGCAAAAACTTAAAAAATCTTCTTTGAAAAAACCCAAATAGCTAGAGTTAAGATATTAAGCATGAAACATCTTTTAGTGAGTGTCTACAAAGTTTGTTCAAATAAAAGACCTGGGGTCAAAATTGGCCCCGCCCCGGGGGTCATTGATTTTCTTTATATGTGTATAGCAAAAACTTAAAATCTTCTTTGAAAAAACCCAAATAGCTAGAGTTTAGATATTAAGCATGAAACATCTTCTAGTAAGTGTCTACAAAGTTTGTTCAAATAAAAGCCCTGGGGTCAAAACTGGCTCGGCCCCAGGGGTGTCATTGTTTTTAACTATATGTGTATAGTAAAAACTTTAAAAAATCTTCTTTTAAAAAGCCCAATGAGCTAGAGCTTAGATGTTTAGCATGAAACATCTTCTTATGGGTGTCTACCAAGTTTGTGCATATAAAAGCCCTTGGGTTAAATTGGCCCTGCAACGTTGGGGGGTGGGGGTTGGGGGGGCCTATATACAGGTGAGCGACCTCAGGGCCATCATGGCCCTCTTGTTTCTTGTCCAGAGCATAACTTGAAAACTTCTAGTTGGAATTCAATACTATTTCATACAATGGTCAAGTATATTGAGAGGAAGCACAGTGTACAGAAATCATAACTCTTTCTTGACTCATTTAAAAGTTTTTGCCCTTTGTTACTTTTTATTGTCAGTGCATAACTTTAAAATTAATGGTTGAAATTCATTGAAACATTATACAATGGTCAAGGGCAGTGAGATGAAGTGCAGTGCACAAGAACCATAAGAGCCCTTTGTTACTTTTTGTCCTGTGCATAACTTGGAAACTTGTAGTTGGAATTCAATACAACTCCATACAATGGTCAAGTGCAATGAGAGGAAGTGCAGTGTACAATAACCATAACTCCATCTTCAGTATTTATAGAGTTATTGCCTTTTGTTCCTTTACCTTGTCTTTCTGGACTTATTGCAGAGTAATTCAATAAAACTTCATCAATGGCCAACCACATTGAAAGGGAATGCAACATACAAGAACCACAACTATCTTTTATTGCCCACAACCATAACTCTATTTCAATTTTTTTACAAGGTATTCTGTTACTAATAACATTCTCATTTTCGAAGCAGTCTTGAGGGGTATTAATCACATTTAGTGATAGTTCTAGTTATTTGATAGGTTTCAACAACAATTCTCAAAGTTGATTAACAACTTAAGACTTTTTAGATTTCCTTAAGATTGTTTATTTCATTGTTACAGTTTGTATGGACGTCATTTAGCTGCAGATGCTCCACCACCACCCAAAACTGCTGACAAGTCGAAGAAAATAAGCCGCCTTGGATAGACTTGTCAACATTTGCTTGAAAGGAATACTGTGCTGAAATTTTAGTTTTTCTGCCCTCACATTCTGTGATGGGGTCAGTCTGTTTGTTTGTCTTTTTGTTCTTACAAACTTCAAAACTTTGGCCTACAGTCCTAAGATTTGGTGTGGTGATTTGTCATGACAAGTAGATGATCAATAAGTCAAAGGTCACCATGGCTTTGACCACTTATGCTTGTCTCACCAATAAGAAATTAAAGGCTTTGCCCACAGTACATTTTTGTTATATATTAACGTAACACTTAACTTTTCGACTTATAAAATATGCATAAGTATGTAGATATTCATTTCACTGTAACAGGGAATGAGATGGGGACATTTGTGTCCTATTGACCCTTTTCTTATTGATTTCATATATATTTACTCCATGTTATATCATACATTTGTATTTGCAAAATTATATTTCAAGGTCAACTATACAGTATACATAACACTGTAACTTCTGAAATAAGGCAGTCTTTTTAAACAATATCATAAAGAGGATATCATAAGGTTGGTTTGATCATTCAATAAATAAAAATTAAAGTCAAATATGTACCCCCTATAAAATTAATAAACATAAGGAGTAAAATGTCTTCATTGACCAATACACACGTCACAGGATTATATGATTAGAACAATCTATAATGATAAACAGCCAAGCATATTTGATTAAAGACACATAAATGTACCTGATGATGTTTTGAACCAAACCATTCCAAATGGGTTATTCATCATAAGTTATTCATCAATGTTTACTAATTACACCAGAAAATTTCAACACGTTCACTCAATTCTCTTTCATTAAAAAATCACGTTTCGAACTATATTATTATTAAACTGGTCAGAATATACTATTCATACAGTATGTGAAATGGCCTAAAAGCATCCCTTTATTTGCGTTATAGTATATAAGAAGTTTTTGATAGATGGCAATGTTTAATAGATGTTGCCAACCGAAATGTTTTCAGTCTTCAAAGGAGATTACTAATGCATACCCATTTTCATTAAAATCACTGTAATAATGATATAAATGTACATAAATATGCATATAAAAGAGACTGATGAAAGATTTCATTTTGTTATGTTCACCAACATGGAAGCATAAAGTTTCCTCAGCCTGTGAATTAAAAAAGATCATGAGTGAAGTACAGTACAGCTTTAAAAACTTTTCCAAAGTCTGCTGATCCCAACGTTTTTTTAGCTTACCTGAGGACAATGTCCTCAAGGTTAGTTTTTGTGATTGTGCTTCGTCCGTCCGTGTGTGCGTCCTTGCATAAACAACTTCTCCTCCTAAATCACTTGGCCAAATTTGTTAAAACTTGACAGGGATGTTCCTTGCATGAAGCTGTATCAAAGGTGTTCAAAGAATTAAATTCCATAAAGAACTCTGGTTGCCATGGCAACCGAAAGATTTTTTTCTACAAAAAATCTTAAAATATCTTCTTGCAAAAAAGCAATAGAGCTAGAGCATAGATATTTGGCATGAAACATCTTCTAGTGGATGCCTACCAAGTTTGTTCAAATAAAAGCCCTAGGGTCAAAATTGGCTCCGCCCCAGGAGGTCATTGATTTTCCTTAAATATAAATGTTTTATAGTCAAAACTAAAAAAAATCTTGTGACAATCAAAAAGTGCTATAGATAAGATATTTTGCATGAAACATCTTCTGGTGGATGTCCACCAAGTTTGTTGAAATAAATGCCCTTGGGTCAAAATTGGCCCCGCCCCATGAGTCATTGATTTACCTTAAAATGTATATAGTAAAAATTAAAAAAAAATTGTGACAATCCAAAAGAGCTAGAGCTTAGATATTTGGCATGAAACATCTTCTAGTGGAAGTCTACCAAGTTTGTTCAAATAAAAGCCCTAGGATCAAAATTGGCACCACCCCAGGGGGTCATTGATTTTCCTTATATATACATATATATATATTAGATATTTGGCATGAAACATGTTCTAGTGTATATCTACCATGTTTGTTGAAATAAAACCCCTGCAGTGATTTTTTTCCGGATAAAGGCTGTTTCCCCTAGCTCAAAATAGGTATATTCCCCCCCCCCCCCCAAAAAAAATGCTAATATTTTCCCCTAAAATGCCCTGTGCACATTCTTTACCAGGACCATGACTTTACAGAAGCTGACTTATATCAGCTAGAAGACCGAAAGCTGTCCCTATAGATTGCCTCTGCTATCTATACATGCATGTTAAATTGAATTGAAATTGAAAATTCTATAAAATGTGTGAGTAAATTCCATTCTTAGTTGTTGGAATTTGATTTACCCCTTTTCTGATTTATCATGCTATATTTTCCCCTTCAGAAAGACATGGGTTGTTTTGAAAATTGAAAAAAAATCACTGCCCTGGGGTCAAAATTGGCCCCGCCCCGGGAGTCATTGATTTTTCTTATATGTACTGTAAATCTGGTGTTTTTCGGGATGTTTTAATTTTCGCTATTTCTTCTGAGATGAAAGGGGCTCCACAACCTATTTCTCAGGTGAGCAATCCAGGGCCCTCTGGGCGCTCTTGTTTACTGATGGATTATCTTAGCGACGTCTCTGCAACAGTTGTGCCCTTCTGCTCATCACCCGATCAGTGATATCACATCAACATTTCGCTGACCATTGATTACTTTATGACATGAAGACTTTATTTACATACAATTACATCTGTAAAAATTAACACACGCAACATTTACCCCCCTAAAATATTTGAAGGCGGACATTTGCTCCACATGTTTATAAAATGTTTAATTGTTTTTGGTACAGAAATTCATGGCCGTATTGTCAAAATTCCAAAAACACTAAAATAGCATCCATCAATAAATGAAATATATGTTTCCTACTCAAAATTCACACACGAAATGATCTCTGACAAGTGACTAGTTGGCTCTCCAAAAGAATCTGTCACTTGTGTAGTCTGCTTTTTATTCCGATTCATCGAAGAGGTGCAGGCACTCAATTGACCCTTTTTAGCTCACCTGTCACAAAGTGACATGGTGAGCTTTTGTGATCGCTTTTCGTCCGGCGTCTGTCCGTCCGGCGTCCGTCCGTCCGTAAACTTTTACTTTAAATGACATCTCCTCATAAACCACTAAGCCAATTTCATCCAAACTTCACAAGAATGTTCCTTTGGTAGTCAACTTTAAAAAATGGTTCAAAGAATTTATTTCCAAGCAGAACTCTGGTTACCATGGCAACCTAAATAAAAAACTTAAAATATCTACTTTTGGAAAACCGTAAGAGCTAGAGCTTAAATATTTAGCATGAAACATCATCTAATCAGTGTCTACCAAGTTTGTTCAAATAAATGCCCTGGGGTCAAAATTGACCCCGCCCGGGGGGTGGGGTTATTGATTTTCCTTATTTGTATTATACAGTATATAGTAAAAACTTAAAAAATCTCCTTTTAAAAAACCCAAATAGCTAGAGCTTAGCTATAAAGCATGAAACATCTTCTAGTGGGTGTCTACCAAATTTGTTCAAATAAAAGCCCTGGGGTCAAAATTGGCCCCACCCCAGGGGGTCATTGATTTTCCTTATATGTATATAGTAAAAACTTCAAAATCTTCTTTTAAAAAACCATTAGAGCTACAGCTTAGATATTGAGCATGAAACATCTTCTAATTGGTGTCTACCATTTTTGTTCAAATAAGGGCCATGGGGTTAAAATTGCCCCCCCCCCCCGCCCCCGTAGATCATTGATTTTCCTTATATATATATAGTAAAAACTTAAAAAATCTTCTGTTAAAAAACCCAAATACCTAGAGTTTAGATATTAAGCATGAATTATCTTCCAGTGAGTGTCTACTAAGTTTGTTCAAATAAAAGCCCTGGGGACAAAATTGGCTCTGACACTTTAAAAGGTATACTTTTCTGTGTCCAAAACCAACTCTGGGAGCATCACCCCATTCAACCGGTTCTTGTTAAAACTGAGCAGGAATGTGCCAGTAAGCTCTTCTAAAATTATTCAAAGAATTCCATATCATGCTAAATTCGAAAGACAAAACAAACAAAAAAATCAAGTTTTATTGGGTCTATCAAGTTCGTTCAAATAAAAGCCCTGGAGTTTGTTCAAATATAAGCCCGGGGAGGGGGGGGGGTCATTGATTTTCCTGATATGTATATACAAAAACAAAAAAAATGTTCTTAAAAGCCAAAGAGCTAGAGCTTTGATATTTAGCATGAAACATCTTCTAGTGGGTGTCTACCAAGTTTAAAAATAAAAAATTCCTACGTTTAAAATTGGGCCATCTTAGGGGGTCATTAATTTTCCTTATATAGCAAAAAAAAATTATTACAATGTATATGATATACATTTATTATACTATAGAGGCTTCACCTTAGATAAGACAGTAACTAAAGACAAACTATATTGTCCCCCGCCTTTTCAAAGAAAAAGGGGGATATAGAAATAGGCTTTCGTGTCCGTTCCATAACTTTGTCATTTATCAAAGGAATTTGAAATAACTTGGCAAAAATCTTTGTTTTAATTAGACGATGTGTTTTGCGCAACAACCAGACCCCTACCTCCAGGGTCAAGGTCGCACTTGCTCATTTAAGGTCAACATTGTCTATTTGAGGGTATATGTCGTGTCAGGTCCATAACTTTCTTATCTTTTAAGGGATTTTGTAAATACACAATTGTTTACAATAATGAAACGATGTGTCATTTACAACAACCAGTCACCTGCCTCCAAGGTCAAGGTCACATTTGGAGGTCAAATATTAACATAGCCTGTTATAGGGTATATTTTGTGTCCAGTCCATAAATTTTTTATAGATCAAAGGATTTTGAAAATACTTGGCACAAATAATCACTATAATAAGACAATGTGTCATGTGCAACACCTGCATCCCTACCACCAAGGTCAAGGTCGCACTTAGAGGTCAAAATTAACATAGTCTGTTATAGGGTTTATTTTGTGTCTGATCTAGAACTTCTTCATAGTTCAAGGGATTTTGAAATAACTTGGCACAAATAGTCACAATAATAAGACAATATGTCAAATACAACACCTGCACCCCTACCTACAAGGTCAAAGTCACACTTAGAGGTCAAAGGTTAACAGAGTCTGTTATATGGTATATTTTGTGTCCAGTCCATAACTTCTTCATAGATCAAGGGATTTCGAAAATACTTGGCACAAATAGTCACAATGATAAGATGATATGTCATGGGTAACACCTGTGTCCCTACCTCCAAGGTCAAGGTCACACTTAGAGGTCAAAGATT